AAAAGCCATTGATAGGTACAAGCCAGTCCCATACTCAAATGTCTTTCCAACCTTGGTTAGGTCCAGAGGTCAAGCCCTTTGAAGTTCCCGTGAAGCTAATAGCCGTGCATTTGAGCATGCATTACACCAGAGGATATAACATACTCCATTCTGCACAACCCACAGCTCAGAGAACAGTTCTGACTACCTAAAGTTTACTATAAAGCTGAATTTTATTTCCAGTTTCTCCCTCAGTGGGTCACGTGGCACTCCTTGCAATCGGAAAATCCCTGGGGTTCAACTCTGCACGCCAAATCTCCTCTACTTCACTGATGTCAAGCAACAGTGAATTAAGGGCCGGCCCTGCTTACACTCTAACTGGCAATATTCTTTCCACATCTTTACCTTATTTTGTTTCCTTCCTTCATATTCAGGGGTCTGCAATTACTGGGAGTTGATAGGCACATTTGGAATTTTTAAGAAATGGGGTGTTTGTGACTTAAAAAAAAAGACGGCTGCGCAACCATGGCAAATCAAAAACTTCCTACTATGGGAAGATGGCCAGTCATAACATTTAGGGGGCGTTTGGGTTTCCCACAGACAAAAACTGCATCTCAGAGACAAAGAGACGCGAGGGCTGATGACATTTGTTTATCCGCAACACTGAAGATGGACTAGCAGTTGGATCTGGGGCAACAGGGATGTGCCCTTTGGAACTTTTGGACTACAAATCCTATAATTCTCCATTCTGGAAGGTTCACTTGACAGGCATCTAATAGTGAGTCACCTGAAAGAAAAGACGGCTTTGCAGCCTTGCTCTGACCTAGCTTCCTGTTCATAAAGAAAGTTCCTGGGCAACTTCCTTTCTGAACAGGAAACTTGGGCGGAGCTAGTCCTAGCTAGATCTCAAAAGGCTTCAGGTTTAGGCCATTCTCCCAGGCGAGCGACATTTAGGTATCTCTCTGTCAAGTGGAGAATTATGGGATTTGTAGTCCAAAAATGCCAAATGGCTCATCATGGGAGTAGGCCGACTCTGCAGTGTGTGGAGGTCCTCCTGCTCCGTTCGTTGAGTGAACGCTCTGACCTCTGCCCTAGCAGCAAGCACCACCATTGACCCCTGCCTCGTGACTTACCTCCGTATTGCCCCATCTGTGGGGAAGAGAGCGAGATGAAGGTGTCCACATTGTGATCAGGCATTGTGGAGAGAAGGGCACGACAGATAAGTCCTCCTGCGGGGGAAAAAGGCAAAGGGAGTCAATTCCTACCCTATTCCCCCCTCAAGGAAAATGACATCCTAAGCAGTGTTTGGGTTTCTGAAATTTAGTCTAAAGAAGCTGTGCCCCCAAGTTAGTTCTAACTTTTTTGCAGGGTTTTCTAGGTTTAAAATTCTCAGAAGTCCTAAGAAGTCCCTCCGACTGGATGGGATGCTCTGGGGTTGTGCAACTTGCCCAAGACCACGCTAATGGCAGGGCCCTCTTCTAGAAGGCATATGGGAGATTCAAACTCCCAGCTCCTGGCCCTGCAGCCAGATGCTCCAACCTACTGAGTCCTGCATGAAGCTTTAATATGATTCTACAGTGGTGCCCCGCATACCCATGTTAATCTGTTCCAGGATTAACGTCGCTATACGGATTCTTCACTATCCGGGCGGGGAAAACCCATAGGAACGCATTAAACTCCGTTTAATGCATTCCTATTAGGGAAAAACTCACTGGTAAGCGAAGAATCCTGCATCCGGCCGCCATTTTTGCAGCCCGATAAGCGAGGGCAGGGCGCGAAAATGGCGGTAAGCGAGGGCAGGGCGCAAAAATGGTGCGGGCCGCCATTTTCTGCACCCAGCGGCCATTTTGGAACTGCCGATCAGCTGTTTCCAAAATGGCCGCCGGGTGCAGAAATGATCGCAATGCAATGTTTAGCCTATCTAAACATCGCAATGTGATTGCATTAGCGACCCCAAAAAATGGGTTGGTATGCAGATTCGTCATTAAACACTGCGCTCATTAAGTGAGGCACCACTGTGTTAACATATATCGATTTCCTACCTGCTTTGACACCCACCGGTAAGCAATCTGTTTGACATCTGCATGTCTTTCTGATAGGTTAGATCTTGACATGGGGGCGCTCACTACCTT